CTGGGTCATTTTAAGCATTCAACCGTCCCAATCCCGCAGAAGCCTGGTTCGCTAGCACCAGCCATACAGTGACCTTGTCGGCTACTGCGGTGTGTTCCGTTTAATTTAAAGTCGTCCATTGCCGCCGGGAGTCGACCCGCGCGGGTTCCGTTATCAGCAGGCCCACGGTCGCGGCAGCGAGCGGTCGCCGCTGACGTGGTCTCCCGGCCAGCGGCGGCTGGCGACCGCCGCGGAATGTTGCATGTCGGTCGGTATGACCGCGTCGGTATGTCGTAAGCCAGTCGGTATGACGCGGCGGTATGCCGTAAGCCGGTCGGTATGACCGCGTCGGTAAGTCGTAAATCGGTCGGTATGACCGCGGCGGTATGCCGTAAGCCAGTCGGTATGATGCGGCGGTATGCCGTAAGCCAGTCGGTATGACCGCGTCGGTATGTCGCACGTCGGTCGGTATGATGCGGCGGTATGCCGCAAGCCAGTCGGTATGACCGCGGCGGTATGCCGTAAGCCAGTCGGTATGACGCGGCGGTATGCCGTAAGCCAGTCGGTATGATGCGGCGGTATGCCGTAAGCCAGTCGGTATGATGCGGCGACATGCCGTAAGCCGATCGGTATGATGCGGCCGTGTGTCGTAAGCCGGTCGGTATGACCGCGTCGGTCGGTTGGTGTGACCTCGTCGGTTTGTCTGTCACACCGTCTGCGTCGGCAGTGGTCTGTCAGTCACGAAGAGCATGGCACCGAATAGGCCTTGCAGTCGTCACGGCGGTGACCTGACACGGGGCCAAGGTATATCACCCGTGATCGCCGGTCGGTCGGCAAAATAGCGTGGCCGTGTCTGCATTCAGCTGATGGTGGCTTCATTCGTCGGTCTGTCACAGCGCTGTCCGCGTCTCGCCGAGCCTAAACGTCGGCCGAGTGCGGACCGGATCAGCCTTCTACCCTGCGGCTTGGATAAAGCTCAGTCACGGCTCAACTGTCCAGCGCCCCACGGGTGGGCAAGGATATCGGTATTGTAACTGTGCGATGGGTATGTAATGATCGGATATGATATATATATATATATATATATATATATATATATTAGATTATTGTATACGTAATGATAACTGGTATGTATGTTCGGTAACAGCCTCCTAGTCTGTCAATCTGTAAGACTGCTTAGCGTTTTATTATATATAACGCGTAACTATAACGCTTAGGGTTGCTTAACGTTAAGAATTTCAACGTCAGCCGTGCAGTTAGCTGTGGTGGCGTCGTTATGTCCGCCGCAGCCGATGTGCTGCTATCCTCTGGGTAGCACGCGCCGTGTTCGTCGCTATAGGCACATACATCTATGACCACCGCCTGTCCGTACAGAGTGTAGCAGTCCGGCCGTGCGTCATTAACGCGCCGTGATGGGCACCAAGCCGAGCAAATATTTGCCGCTAACAGGGTATACGCGTCACACACTTTTTGTGACAGGGACTCAAGCCCCGACGTTCGCGGCGCAACACTATAGCTCCGATGGGGTATCTAATTATTATTCCGGAGCGTACGCACGCTAATGAGCAAAGGAAGCGCGTCACGTGCGGCCCGGTGAGGACGAGTAATTAATTCGCCCAATCTGCTGGCAGCTGGCGGGCTTTAAGGAGAGACCACTTACTGCTTTTGCAATGACTTCAGTCGCTGGAACGATGCTAGTTACGAGGAACGAGACTGGCATTGAGTCAGGAATGGACATGGGCTGACATTGAGTCTGGCCGGACTGAACTCCTGCTCGGGCTCATGAACCTTTGGGCTCTGATTCAAGTGGGTAATTTATTTACGGGTAAAATGGACTGTGATTTGGACTCCCCAATTAGACACACAGTGTACTCGAGCCTGGACGTAGACTCAAACCACGTAAGTGGATCAGGCTTGGACAGCAAAATTCTGGGAACATGTGACCTGGACCAAAACTAGGACAAAACCCATAATGATTCTAGGGTGAACTCCAAACATACGCTGTGATAGAAATTTGGTTGTGAAATGCACGCGAGCATTGCCACATTGGATTGGGTCAGGTTTGGCTAGGTTTGGTTAGCTTGGCTAGCTCGGCTAGACATGGGCTTGACACAACGTAGGCTTGACACCGCTACGTTGTGTTAGGTTTAGAATTAATCATTTAGAATCTGCAAGACCGTCAACTCATGCAATGATGGCGATTTAAATGCTGCTTTAAGAAAGTGCCAGGAAGGGTTAAGTTGACACTAGGTTATTTTAAGTGGGATTAAGTTTCCAACTCACAAGATTACGTGCACTGACGGAGTGATATGATTATTAGCTGGACAGGTCGCATATTTATCATGCGTTCCTTGTCCCATACCACCCACACATTCAGGAGCTCATCCACACATACGTCAGAAGTTGATCCACCCGTACATCAGGAGCTGATCCACCCATACATCAGGAGCTGATCCTCCCATACGTCAGAAGCTGATCCACCCGTACATCAGGAGCTAATCCACCCCTATTTCAGGAGCTGAGCCACCCATACGTCAGAAGCTGATCCACCCATACATCAGGAGCTGATCCTCCTATACACCAGGAGCTGATCCTCCCATACGTCAAGAGCTGATCCACCCTAACCGTCAGGAGCTGATCCACCCTTATGTTAGGAGCTGATCCACCCATACATCAGGAGCTGATCATCCCATACATCAGGAGCTGATCGGCACGCACTCAAGGCGTTAGATGTGAGCCCAATCTCTGAAGAGTCCAAGTAAAACTCAGACTCAGACTCGGAGCTATGTGCCGTGAACACAAAGGGATTCAAACCCTGACAAACACTCAAGGTCTTGGAACTCGGGCACGTGCACTGTGTATGAGGCGGGTAGAGGACTCGGATTCAAACTCGGGGGGAACCCGGGTGCAGGCTACGGGGAGGGGCGGGGGGGGGGGGGGCGGAGGGCTCGGATCAGACTCGGGAGCGGGGGACTCGGATTCAAACTCGATGTACCAGGACTTAGAACCGGACTTGGACTCGAGTTTTTGGACTTGGACCCGTGCCCTCTTCTGAGAGGTCTCGAGCGTCCCTCAGCTACCATATTACACCCATTCGTTGTTCGAAGCGTTCATTTCACGACTGCATTCAAATAACGAGCCACACATCACTTTCAGTACTACATCCGTGGCAAGGCGTTTGAAAGTCAGTTACTGGCGACGAACCGGGTTGCACCCGATGTGATAAATGCTAAGGCTTTAAAAATAGAAACTTCTGAGTCGCCCCGATAATAAATATCCACTACCAGTAATTGATCGTGCAACATTTATACGAATGGCGTGACCACTTGAAGTTCCGACTTGCATGCTTCACGACTTGGCTTCTTTATTAAGATGAGATTGTAACAGATCTGTTTTACATCCAGACGGCCAATAACATTGTCTCTGATGTGAACAACAGCGGCCTGAAGCTGCTGGTTTTTCGGCGTTATGAGTTCAGAGGCACAAAGGCGGAGGTATCGTCATCATAAGCACTTCAAACGTCGAGTACCATCAATGTAACCAATGTCTTCTCAACAGCCTCGTTCAACCGACATCTCCTGGCATCTTGCAGGTCGATTAATCAGCGCAAGACTTCTGAGCTCATGACGTTTTCCCACCAGGGTAAACATGGCAGAGCACGCTCTGTCCCGCACTGTTCCGCGGCGACCTGCACGGTCCGCCGCCCACAATCAGGGAACGACGTGAAACACAATGCTGAGCAGACTTGCACTCTGCGTGAGGCTCATTCCACGTCTCCCATGGCTCCATGTTTGACTCCATGTCTGCCCCATTTATGGGCGACGCTTCCCGAGCCGACCTCTCAGGAATGCAAAAGGTCAGACCGGGTGCGTGAGGATGAAGGTTGTCTACTCGGGCAAGCAGGCAGGCGCTACGCGGGCGTTCCCAGTCGGCCTACGGCAGGCCAAATGCGGGATGGGGCGGACAAAATCATTGCGTCACCTACGGGAGGTCTGCTCAGGTCAGCCAGGTCTGCTTCTGGTGAGCATTCAAAGTAAGGTCGGATGGAGCGTCCAAAGTGCGTCAAACGGTTGACTTTTGTGACTTAACCACCGACCCGATTCGCTATTTGCATGACGTTAACAGATAGGAAAAGAAGGGGGTGACCCCCTGCCGTTTCTATTGATATCATATCACTTATCTTATATTCATTTGTATGAATACTGAGTGTTTTGCAATGTTTGCAGCTCACTGATGTGTGGAGATGTTTGTGTAATAAATGATACGGACGCTTCGGACACTTCTTAGGCAAAAGATATGCGAACATGAAGCTGTTACCTCGCGAATTCAACGAAATGTTGGCTTACTATGGCTTACTGTGGCTTACTGTGAAATACTGTGGCTTTGATTTCTCCCCTATGGCGTTTATCAGAGTGGTTTTTTTCCGAGGCGCACTTTGGCTTTGGGAACGGGAGTACTACATGGTCCACAGCGACACACTGGTTCAAACTTCAACCGGCGCGCTTATCGGAAACAGACCCTTGTCGCCCGCTAGGTCGGTCACAAACGTCTTTTATTCGCACTACTAGAGGTGCGCACGGCGTTGTCATAAAGACGGTGGTCGCGACTGCCGGAAAGAAGTTAGTGCTGCTGCAAAGCGTTGAGAGCGTTATTTTAACTCGAAAATTATTGAACTTGATATCCTTATGACTTGGGGGTGCTGCAGTGACACTACACGATGCTACTATAATACGTAATTGGTCCTGAGGTTTCATTAGAGTAGGCGTTTGAAATATGCCCTAGAGGTGGTGCACTCACTTTAAAATGCTTGTAAACTAGACCTTCTAGGCTTAAACTTGGATTGGACAGACCCTCCCATAACAGTTGTGTTGTATCCATACGATATGTAGTGTAACGCAGCTACGAAGCAACGTAACTTGTTTTACAATGTTCACCACGAACTCGCCCCCTGATGACCACCGTGGGCACATCCTCTGCGCCCACATCATTGGAAGGAGCTGTCTCTTCAGATGAAATAACCCGAGCGATATTGCATACTTTCCGGTATATCTTGGGCTCTCAGGTTTCACAGTTCTTTTCATGGAATGGAACTAAACAGCAGCACATAAACAAAATCGGTGAACGAACCTTTAAACTAGACGCTAAGACATGCAATGAGACACGCACCTGAACTTTTAAATCAGGAGAACGCAAGTTGGAAGCTCCTTTCCAAAGCACTATATGCGATCAATGGATGTTTGGGAAAACTTTGCAACAGCGCTACATGTTGAATATCATCAAACACCACGATCACTTAAGCAAAAAAAGGAGTAACATTTACCACGTGACCACGAATAGTTGATAACACATCATGAACACCAATAACCCGAGTCCCGCTCAGTAGGTTCAACCACACGCACCAAACGCACACGCAGGCCTACCCAAGATAATGTTTTACTCACCCGTTCTACTGATCAACAAACCGAGACTAAATACGCAGGACTGGTAGAACGTCTGGCAGTGCATCAAGACATGGCCTCATTCAAGCGATCGCCAGCTAACACGATGGTGGGAGATTCGCCACTGCCCAGATGACAAAGTTCAGGGTACCCGCAAAGGGTCTGATTATAACTTCCAATGACGATATGCTGCCGACAGCACATCTCATGCAGCGACCAAAAAATAAAAACGCCAGTTTGCTGCAAGAGCGATCCCATACCTTGTATCGCACGAAAGAAGCACTGCCCGCCCACGTCTACGGTCAATGAACCCCACGTTTTCGCTCCACAAGTCTTCCACGATGTCCAACGCCGACACGGACGACCCCACATCAGACTAATCACCCTTCACTGACTCATAGCCCCGCGAATCACCGCGACAGACACAGCGCGCCCAGGGTGACCTCTTGACACGACACCGAGCCGCTTCAAAGAGCCGCCGCCTGGCTCGCCGGCGGGCGCCGGCAGAGGTCCAGGACGGCGGCCCGCCTGGCCGTCTGCCCCGGCGCCGCGAGCGGCTGACCCTTGATCGGGGTCAGCCAGAGGTCAGGGTCACAGATGCACTAGCTGAGGGTTAGCGCGCCCAGCAACTGCTCCACGGGCAGTCGGTCGTCGTCCTCGCCAATGGCCTCCGAGTACCTGCCGCACGGACACCACCCGGGTCAGCAGGTCAGGTCAGGTCAGGTCGCCGGAATCAGCGGGCGCCAGCCCCCCGGGGCTACAGAGGACATGGACTGGAGTTTATGTCCGCTCGCCTTTACATGGGTGCTCAAATTATCACAATTTGAATGTGAATAAACGTATTCTCACTCATTTCCTTAGCACGGATTGTCGATTCCCAGAGGCTCGTGGATGCATTCGCTTGTAGGAACCGCGACCCAGTACAAAATACTAGAACAATGACCCCAGGAATGGTCCGCGACGAATTATTCATGAAAAACGTCATGAAGAAAGGAACTACAGTATGCGAACTAAGACAGCCCCGCGCGTAATTTTAACACCAAGACTGGTACATCGTGCGGAGAAATTCCCTCTTTGGAACATTTTCTGATGAGAACAGCGGCCTGTCACACAGCATCACAGCTCAGATCGTGTTACCCAAACTGGCACCTGAACCCCCAAAACGCTCGTATATCGCGCCGGTCATCTAATTTTCTCTAAACCGATATCACTATGAGTAGCACCGTCCAGCACTACATTTTATCTTTTCCAGAACATTCTTCGCAGCCTCATACGCCGTAATGTACTGAATCGAACCCCCCGGGGCCAGTCCCCAGCTGACCTTTCCAGTCTATTGAGGCGAGCAATGGCCTCGCTGGTGCAGCTCCCACACAACGACGTCGTGATCACCAGCGAGGCTTAAGAAAAAGCGTGCCACAGGTATTACACCATCAAAACTGGCGAAATAACCTTTGACAATAATTCTCGCGTGATGCCTTCTTAAAACGACCATCGCTATTCAGTCTTGCATTTCTCTCAGGAAAATTGATTGTATTTCTCAAGGCACTTTCTTAACCGCAACGAAGCATGGGTTAAAGAACACGCGAACACAGCTGTGACATCAACGTAATACACGATAAATAATGTTAAATGATCTAAATGATAACTGGTGTTCGTGGATTTTCTGCCCTAGCTAATCGTCCAAAAGGACGCTATTACCCGAGTGGCCTATATCCTGCCAACCTCTGTCATCGCGTGCCGGGGTACTTATCTGGTAAGGACACCTAAAAAACCTAGACAATGCGCTTTGGCCGGTTCCAATCAATGCGTTATGGCCCTGTAACCATCTCATGGATTGTGAAACTGGAATAACTTGCAACACATGTCGCAATTTGTGGCGAGCACGTCTATTCGCCTCGCAAATAGCAGCGTTTATGTGGCTCGTCCCGGACCGCCTATTGGCAATCCCTCGCCGCAAGAGTGTACCTCAAACACAATGTCGCGCACGCCACTGTGTGGTACGCCATAAAAAGTCGACAGAAACTTTCACTGAAGCAGAATTGTTCTTTTGGTGTGGCTTGATCATGGTCCTTGTGATAAACAATGAACCTCGTAATGTTCTCGTAAACAAGTACTCTGACTCTGACGTCGCATCCACAGAATACTCGGCCCACAACTCTACAACACGGGTATTTTATGCCGTCCTCACTCCAAAGAGGAATGCCGATCCGTGAAATATCCTCAAATTAAGACTCGTGATGCTACAGCCCATCCCCAGGTCAAATATCGTAGCCACACTTCGCCGGGCCGGGCGGGATGCCACAGAGGCCTTTGGCGTGGAGTATGTTCGCCGCCATGTGGTAAAATGATGGCGTAACAGCGGCAGAAAGGTCCACGAGCGTTAACTACGCTCGTTTTCACATGACCAGTGACACAGGGAGGGAGGCGCTGAGAGCCTCCACCAATGCGAGGGCCAGCGCCAGGCGGGTCGGGCGCCGCGACCAGGCCACCCCGGGCCGGACCCAGGCGGACCGGCGCGTCCACATAAGCGCGTGAGGTGCGGTGCTACCGCGGCCCTGATACTGGAGCCGTGTCAGGAGTGACGACGGCACCGCGGGCCTAACGCTGGAGCCGTGTCAGGAGGAGTGAGGACGGGACCGTGGCCCTGATACTGGAGCCGTGTCAGGAGTACAGACGGGATCGCGGCCATGACGCTGGAGCCGTGCCAGGAGGAGTGAGGACGGGACCGTGGGCCTGACGCTGGAGCCGTGTCAGGAGGAGTGAGGACGGGACCGCGGCCCTGATACTGGAGCCGTGTCAGGAGTGAGGACGGGACCGCGGTCCTGATACTGGAGCCGTGTCCGGAGTGAGGACGGGATCGCGGCCCTGATACTGGAGTCGTGTCAGGAGTGAGGACGGCACCGCGGGCCTGACGCTGGAGCTATGTCAGCAGTGAGGACGGGAATGGCCGAGCTGCTGTGGTGCGCGCTGGTAATACTAGGAGTAATACCGGGTTAGTAGTGTCGAGGACGATCCTGCATTCCATGTCAGGAGTGAGGACGGGAATGGCCGAGCTGCTGTGGTGCGCGATAGTGATACTAGGAATAATGCCGGGTTAGTAGTGTCCAGGACGATCTTGCGCTCCAGTTGAAACCATCGGATTATCGATCAGCCTCGAGTCCAGTCAATAGACCCAATATCAAACGAAGTGCAGCTACTGACCATGTATGCATCTACATACATCACAGGTGCAGCTACTGACATGTCTACATGCATCACAGGTACCATCAAGCACTTCCTAAAGCCGAGTCGGGATAGTTACATCACTCAGTTCTCACTTAAGTCAAGGGCAGCGAGTAACCTCCCCCAGATGACCAAAAGTTGAGCAAAAATGACACATTTCTGGCCTCCGTAGAAAAATTGTTCCACTAAGGGAAGCTTATATGAGAACAATCCTTGACGTAAAGGAAGTGATACCGATGAGTTTAGAGGATCAGGCCATCGTTTTGACTTTGGCTATTCAAGCTGTCGTTCACCCCTCTACATCCCATACCCCGCCTCAACACTCTGGATTCGGCTTTAACTAAGCCTCACGCCCTTCGGCACAGCGGAGCAAAGTCGCACGCTTCTGATAACAGCATGACACCGATAATTAACACCAGCTCAAGGTTCAAGACTTCATTACATATCCTGTGATATTGTGTGGGCTCCAGGCCCGGCGGCGGCGGCGGTTCACAGAACATCCGGTGTCCGATGTGTCCCACGCTCAACGCCAGAATGGACATCGAATAACCAGCAGACCATGCGCGGCCAGTAGCCACCACAACTTCTCAGCGATCACTTGCACAACCTAGACGCATGGCGCATCAGGGGGAGAGAGGCAGACACCACAGCTTCAGCGGCAGAGGGACAGACACCACAGCTTTCGGGGGAGAGAGACAGACGCAACAGCTTCAGCGGCAGAGAGACACCGCAGCTTCGGCGGCAGAGAAACAGACACCATAGCTCCAGCGGGAGAGAGACAGACACCACAGCTTCAGCGGGAGAGAGACAGACACCACAGCTTCAGCGGGAGAGAGAGAGACACCACAGCTTCAGCGGGAGAGAGACACCACAGATTCAGCGGCAGACAGACAACACACCTTCGGCGGCAGAGAGACAGACACCACAGCTTCAGCGGCAGAGAGACAGACGCCACAGCTTCCAGATCAGAGTTTTAGGGCGCGCAGATTGCTGGCGTCATTTCGTTTCCAGGCCATCGGAGTGCCCAATGGCAACATTTGCCTTTGGTCAGATGTTGTAGAAGAGCACTGATGCTGATTATCCGTCCGACAGAAGAATACTGATACCACTTCAGCAGAATCTGCTTACAGACAACGTATCTCCAGAACTTGCAAACGGTGCAGCCCTCGCATGCCACACAAGGCAGCAAGCTGGAGGAAGCCCCCGCGTCATCTGTCGCCCAACACCACCCCAGTCACCGGCCATCACAGTTCCGCCCCCATCCGACACCTGTCTCCGTCCGAGCTGTCAGCGTCCCAACGTCAGTCGCGTCCGTCCCACCCCAGCCGCTGGCTCTGCCCCACCTGATGTCCGCTCGTCCCGCCCTCGCCTACCGCCGCGCCGCGCGGCCGCCGCCGGTCCCCGGTGGCTCTGGTAACTTATCCCGGGTTTGGCCGGCCCCATCCGACCGCAAAGTTCCCACCCCGACTCAGCGACGTCGACTAGTTTGGCGAGTCCTATCGGGGGATAAGAGCGGCGTGATTCCTTTGAGATGGGCGGCCGCCGTCCGGCTCGCCGCGGGGGCAGAGGCTGCCGCCGCTCGCCCCGCCCCGCTGCTGGCAGAGGGAGAGGGGACGGACGCACGGCGCCCCTCCCACCAGACGAGCGCGGTTGAGCAGCCATCGCACGCGCGGAGGATAGGGAGGGAGGGGTGTGCTGACGCTGATTAAGTCACCAGTCTGTCACAACCTGGCAGTGAGAGCTTTCAGTTATTTCTCCTAGCACTGACCATGAAGGTATTGTGACCGTCACGCCGCGGTTCCAGCCAGCCAGCCTCTGCGATGACTCCACTCCACGCGGGCAGTGTAGATGCATAGTTGATGAACTAAGTTAGAAGTAAGCCTTCTTCAGCGTCCACGCTATTCTGGCTCTGCCGTACAGCCGAAAACAGGTACAGGTTCCACCGGGCTCAAAGAAGCATGTGTTCGCGCACGCACAGTTCGACATTCATCAACGTGTTCTTGGACGAACCGGTAATGCTTGATCCAACAGCATGCCCCAGGAACCTGATTAATGTCATGACACTCAGTTTCACACGAACTCTCTCCTGCCTAGGTCATCTCCTCCTGTGCTCTCAGCAGCTTACGCTATGCCCCGCCTCGCCTGGCCACCGTGGTCACGTGACCTTGACTCGGCACAAACAGCAGCGCATATGTCTTCCAAGGCAGGTTCCACCAGGCAGTTTTACCAGTTATTGTCCACACTGGGCTGTTTGTTTTTGGACTCAAAAGCTCATGTTAGTATGCATGGGCTCTGCATGGTTCCATTCTGTATTCAGCAAATACGATTGCTGACCGGCAAGCCGGTGGTAAACGGGCTTCAAGATATCCTGAATAGCGGGTCGACGGACCACTGTACCGGGCCGGCCGCAGCCATCGCCCAATGCGCTGCTTTAACCACTGTTTGGCGTAGAGGCA